GTGTTTGAGCGTTGTTCTGGCGATTTTTGCGACGTGTTCTGTCCAGAGAAGACTGCCTCTTCATAGTTTGGAGAGCGCTGATCATCGTATGCAGGAAGCGACTCGGTGCATGATGATTGTGAACCGCCTCTAGTTCGTGACGCTGCCGCAAGCGCGTCGTCGACATCCATGGCATCGTCTGCCGGACTAGCAATCCTTTGCCTCTTACTTCTGGAACTCTCGCCATCACCTTGCTCGAGGTCGCTGGGTCGTCTGTCTCCCAGGTATCGTCGCAAACTCTTCTCCATGCCTGTCCTTCTACCCACAGATGACACCGTATTGACCATTGGCGATCCAATGTTGCGCTCGATGAGCTCAGCGCCGTATTGGACGAGTCGCGGAGTGTATCCTTTAGTCGTATTATAGGCTGAGATAGAGCCGTTGATACCGCTCCCAAGCCATGGGTGGTTCGACGTGATCAGGGAGAGGAGCGGTTCAGGAGGCTCAGTTGTAGATTCGCGGGCAGAGAGCGTAAGGGATCGTGCTGTCGGCGAGCGAACAAAGTCTGCGATAGTCAGTCAATATGTTACCAGCATCATAGACAGTAACCACAACGGCATGACTACATACCTGGATTCCCGAGTCCACTGAGCGCCTCGGCTGCCAGCCTTACATCGGGATCATCCATACTGACACTTGTCTCCCGCCTGTTCGTGTTCTCGCTGCGCACACTCGCTGTATCCATAGGGCTTCCCATGTCCTCACGCGGTAGGCTCTCTGGCGCTCTTGGGAAAGTCGCATGGTTTGGCATTGGCAACCTGCCCCATTGCGACGCATCGTACTGCGATCGCGGGCTGAATTCTATCGAGTTGTGTGGAGTATGACGCGCTTTGGTGTCGGGCAGGTCCAGGGACTTGATGCCCGGTAGCCTTGCGTGATCAGAGACATGGCTTGGAATATGCGTCGGTACCGAAGGGAGATGCAGCGATTCGGGCTCGTGTTGTGTGTATGCAGGCGGCGGGGCACGCTGGAGTGGTCGTTCCTGCTCCATTGTAGGAGATTCGCAGGAGCGTGACGTTTATAATCCGACCAGCCCTACCCCACGTTTGTCTGGGCGCAAACCACACCCAACTGTATCGCTGCGACTCGTGGTAGAAGTCGTTTCGAGTTACGCTATGTCCGTGAAAGCCGTCGCAATGCCCAATGACGGTGCGGAAGGAGCGTCTCGAAAGGGTATTCTCCTCCGCGGAAGCGTAATCGGACGCCCAAGTGCGAATTCGAGGACGCGATGATGTCGTTCAAGGGGATGCGAGTCGACAGGGACATGTAACACGGAAGAGAAGCTCTGGATGACGGTCGCAAAGAGTGGAATCGTCGCTTATCGCATGGTTGATCGGAAGGCAAGGTTCGAGGGATGACAGCGCGAGACGCCCGGCAGCAAATTGGGGATCACCACAAAGCCGTGATTCTCACATGTCAATCCTATCACATGTCACCAATGATCCACCCAGTCCACGCCACACATGCTTCTTGGCACTCAATTCCGAGCAACCCCATGCACTGTCTAAGCAGCTCAAGCTTCCGTCGTAGTGAGTGCGAAACGGATTGAGACACACTGAGCCTTCTCACAAAAGATTCCGACGCATTGCGACGAGTTGGGGCCATCACGATGGTTCCAGGTCAAGGCTAACGACAGAAGCCGCTACATGGGGCTGCAGCCGATCACTGAGCTTCCGGCACGCTGTCTCCTCTCGCTATTGCACGTGTAATCCGCCTAGGCTTCCCCACATCAGCCCTGTCTTCTTCCGATGCCCGCACACTACACACCTGGAACACAGGAGACGAATCATTGACGATTATGCATTATCTTTCGTTCAAGTATTTGCTACAACGTGCTATACCGCCCATACCAAAGCCAAAGACCAACACCGGAGTTGTCGTAACGCGATCCGACCAACCATGCTCTTACATGCTTTTATCGTAACACGGGGCTACACCAAAGTGTTTATCCCCACACATAGCAATTACAAGAAGATAGAAAATTGTAACCCTCCAGGGTGATGTCGTGCCAAGAACGAATTGCTAAGAAGCCTGGCCAAAAGGTGGCTCCTGTTGACGAGTTATTTCAGGGTCTGGTAGTTGGCACCTAAAATCTTGCAACAGCTGAAGATCATAACACGCTGCGTCAAGTGTGACTGCAGAGTACTTTGACTGCTTCGACGGCAAGGGGGCGTTGGGCATCGTCCAATGCTTCAAAAAGCTCCATCTGCCGCACGGCGCTCCGCAGATCCTCTGGACTGTCGAGCTTATGCCTTGCGGCTGCGGGTCGCACGTCCGTTGGGTGTGCCATTGGGTGAAGCTCCTGTAGCAACACCGTTAGTGGAGACAACACGCGAGGTCGAGAGCCGCCTGCGAGCTTCACCAACAGTCGGCAACTTCTCATCCTTCATCTCAATCAACGCGCTTGTAGCCCTGCGACGGCCCTTGGGCACTGGCTTCTTGTACGTGGCGAAGTAGAAGGCGAGGAAGAGGAACAGGTACGACGTGATGATGCAAATGCCCGAGATAGCAGCAAACTCCTCACCAGCACACTTGCCCATGTTGGGCAGGTGCGGCCAGTAGGTGCTTGTGAAGTAGGTCCACGAGGCAAAGTAGATGAAGCCTGGAGGCGGTCAGTTGCTTTCTTTATGACCCATGCGTGAGCAGGTGGGAAACATACCGATATCGAGAACGAATTGGGTGATCTGGCCAATGGTGATGTACTTCTTCCACCAGATGCGGATGCCTCGCGCGCTCTGGAAGTAGTACCAGTACATGACGACGTGGACAGCCAGGTTGAGAGTGATGACAGGCCATGAGACAGGGGTGTGACCGATGAGCTGGGTGTAGCAGAGGAGAGCGGTCGCGCCATGGTGGTAAGTGTGGAGGAAAGCTGGGCTTGTTAGCAATGCAACCTCGAAGCCAGATTGGTGTACATACTCAATGGCTTCTTCTTCAGGAACAAGAAGCAGGTGTCGATCAACTCCAAAAACTTGGTGAGGTAGTTAAGCTGTGCTTGTCAGTCGAATTCTCAAGCAGCATGCAACGTAAGCACTTACGTAGTAGAGAATGACCAGCTTGTCGGTCCATCCACCCTCGTGGTCACAGATGGCGAAGAAAAGACCCTTCCTGGCAACCGTGGGGATCAGTTGCTCAGCGAAAAGGAGCAATAGAGTGCCGCTGATTGCCGTGAGGTAAAAGTTGTGCACCTTGAAGAGGAAGTTGAGCTTGAAGGGCTCACGGTTGCGCATAAGCTCCCGTCCACCAAAGATTGTAATGTAGTATGCGATCAGCGTCACGACGCAGACCTTGAAAGTCGAAAGCGGTGTCTCTCCTTGTACGAATCGGAAATCCTGGGGCTTGTAGCCCGCGATGGGCTCGAAGCACTTCTCGAAGATGGGCCATAGTGCCAGGCCGAAGGGACGGTCGAGCGTCGGCGCGCCGATTTCAAGCCAATCTGGGTTACCCATTGTGTGCGTGTATGATTATGGGTTTCGATGAGGTCGGTGTTGTGTTGTTCGGAAGCCCTGGTCGGAAGGATTTAAAGGGTTGAGCCTAGTCCAGGAACTAGGTAAACAAGGGAAACGTGGAGAAGAAGAGCTGGCAACCGCGACCAAGCAAGGGCGAAGCGTAAAGGAGTGACGAGAAAATGTGAAGAAGTAAATCTCACACTGAGGTGAATGAAGGTGATGCGCAAAAGGTTATGAAGGGCCAGCAATTGTTTTCTGGCTGCGCCGGAAAGGAGGTCGGAAATGACTGCTGGGGTCTTCCGCCTCTCCCGCAGATGGGCCCAACGCGCCGTTGCACGTCCAAATTACGACACATTGCAGACCGAGGCGAATTGCATGTTTGCTATTGGCTACACTACTGTATTGCTCTCCTTTTACATTCGTCTTACTGCTGGCGGGCGCTGGACTATCTTGGCCAGATTTTGCAACCACCACGCTAGATCCAGATAGCATGGATTCGCGCGCAGCTGGCGTACGAACATGTAATTCAGCCTGCTTCGAAGATGTTCAGCATGTGATTTGAATGACCTCGACCTCACTCGCTGTTGCTATGTTACGATGCAAAATGCTTCTCCAAATGTCAACACCAATTCGGCAGGCTTGGCGCTCCGAAAGCCGAGAACCCCCTTGAGGCTAGTTTGATCTTCGAAAGCGAGTCGGATGGAAAACTATGCGGCTCCCCGTGTGCAGATAGTACGGCTTGAGAAGATGGGGATCCCTTGCAACCTTTCCAGCGCGCATGGATCAAGGCGAACAGAGTGAATGGTGATGCTTTCTGTGGAAATAAGCATATAGCAATGGGCTCACGATTACTTATCAGCGTAGTCTGCCATATCTCCTCTCTTTTGTCTTTCTTCGTTGATTCGCTTTCACATACACAAAGGGGGCATCTTCAAAAATTCTTTATATTCCGCGTCTATCAGTATGAAGAAATTCCTATCCAGTCATCTTCCACAGAAAACGTCATCCGGAACACCACGTGAAACGTCCATGTTGTTTTGGGAAGAACCAAAGAAACCGCGACGCTTTGATGCCAGATAAAACCACATTGATATCGCAACTACAGTCCAGCCCGCAACAGGCTAGCAATGAATCAAGACGACAAAAAGAGAAGAGAAGATATGCTCCCCAGAATCAAGACCTAATGACCCGAGTGATTGTGCCTCCAGAATTCGACCTTGCACGACCATTTGGTGCGCGTGACGAGGCGGCGTGGCCAGAAGAAGAGTTAGGGCGACTGTTGCTACGCGGTCGACCAGCCGAGCGGCGAGCACTTGACGAAACGTGGTGCTCCCCTTGCGAAGTATGATGCCGTCGCTACAAAAGCGCAAAGCACAAACACGTCAGATCCACCTGAATCGAAATGCAAGTCTTGGACAACAAGGAAGAGAACCTAGGAGTCTAGGAATAGAATTAAGAGTACATCGATTCGGCCACAGAGAATGCTCATCCAGAGTTCTAGGGACTTAAGAATCAACGTACCGAGGTTTGGCTGCCTTGACGCTCATACTCCTTCGGCCGCCTCTCTCTCGATGCTGTTCCGTCGTCCTGTAGGCGGAGGTTCTCCAATCGTGACTCCGAGTCGTCCATGCGCATCGGATCGACGGCTGATTTCTCTGCCGTACCGTTTGAACGTGATTCGGCAAGCTTGGCAAGCTTATCCCAGCGATCCTGTCGACTTTGCTGTCTTTGAGTAGCATTGTTTTGTGACTCGGCGTAATCGTGTGAGCAGTCATCGAAGAGTTGAGGGTTCACTTCCATGAATAGCTTCATGGCATTGTACACCATACCATGGATTGTTCTGAATGCACAGTCAGCAAGCAAGTAGTCTCACCAGAGTGCATATACGTACCGGTTCCAGTGACCCTTCGAGTTTTCGTACAGCGGGGCGAACATAATGGGCAAGATGACTTCGACGTTGTCGCTAACAAGGTTGCAGAAGTACTCGTTGTTCCAGAAGTACAATGCTCTCTCGGCGACCTGGAAGTGAGGACTGGCGACAGATTTGGCTAACTGGTTGAATAGCGGCTCTTGTACCTTTGCGAACTCGGCGGGGTCCATAACCTCGAAGATGTCCTCGACCTCGTTCAGGAACATGACCTCTTTGGTACTGTTCACCTTTGGCCAATATCGGAGAAGACCCAAAACAACCTGAACGTGTAAGCCTAGCCTATTGGATCTGGCGTATGTTCCTACCTCTTCTGTTAATGCCGCGTCCTTTTCCAAGAACTGGACAATGCAATACGCCAATTGTGGATGGTACATGCTCAGACTCTTGACTTTGTGAAGCGGAATAAGCACCCTAGTGAGGAACAGCTTGTGCTCTTCCTTCAATGGCAGAGCAAAACCGTTAATTATAGAACCGAGAATTTCGAGAAGCTCGGCGATACCGTTGAAGCGTTCTGTCTCGTAAATAAATTGGAAAAAGACGTTGTTGATGGAACGGCGGATGTAGGACCGGAGGTTGAGGAATTTGCCGTAAATGCGATGGAGTGTGGTCTTCAAGAAGTCGCGCTCTCTGGGGTCTTCGGAATCGAAAAGCTCAAGCAGCTGCTCACGTTAGCCAGATGATACCAAGCAGATGACAAGATACGTACGTTGAGCACGAAACTGTGGTCTATGTACGCTTTGGCAATGTTTGTGTTGAAGTCCTGACTTTCGATGAATCGAAGGAAGAACTCGTAAACGACCTGTATGTGCGGCCACGCCACTTCCAGCACCGGCTCGTCTTCTTCTGGATCAAAGGCCTCGCCTTGGGGGTTCATCGGGGGTGGGATGGGTCGGAACAGGTTCTTTGCAAACATCTCGACGACGCGAGGGTACATCTTCTCGGTGATGACCTGGCGGTTGTTGGCAACATAGTCGAGCAGCTCGTGCAGGGCCAGACGCTTGATCTCCTTTGATTTCATATCGCCACTAGCATCGTTGAAGTCGAAGATGATGTTGCATTGGTCGATCTTCTGCATGAAGAGTTCCTCCCTCTTGTTCGGGGGCACCTCGTGAAAACCAGGAAGCTTTTCCAGTTCACGCTGGCGCTGGTCTGAGATGTCGAAGCGCGACGAGTGTTGCCTCTTCGGAGTTCTCATGCCCTCGATGTTGTCCTTGGGCGTCGCTTGAAGACGGTCGAATATTCCCGACTTCTGACCCGCCTTGGGCGGCGCAAGATCTCCGGGCATCGTCTCGGCCGCGCCAGGAGGAGGTGGATGCTGAATTATTGATTAGCCTACCGAAAATGTGTCTATGGATGCGCAAGTACTCACAGGCGCGCTTGGGCTGATGACGACGCTGGGTGCAAGGGGCTGCCCCAACCTAGAGGGCGTGCCTGGACCAGCAGCGCCGGCATTACCAGCAACACCGGGACTCATCACGCCCTGTCCACCAAAAGATTGAGGTCCACCCGCAAGCGAACCCGACGAAGGCTGCGGGTTCTGTTGTAGCGACCCAATGTTGGAGGAAGCGCCGTCGGCGGCGGGCTGGCTCTTGCTTCGCGCATCGGTGAGCTGTGTCTGCGACGAGGAAGGCGTGGCCTGAGCAGAGCCCGAGGGCGAGTTGGAGGCAGCCAGCGACGGCGAAGCAGTTCCAGAAGACGAGTCCTTCTTCTTAGATGACTTGCTATCCTTGCTTCGAGAGAGCTGTTCGGACTAGATATGTTAGCCTCCGCGCATAGAGAGGGGTAAGGCGGTGCGGTGTGCTGCCAGGGTCCACTGGGAGGACGGGCAACTTACGACCCTTTGCCTAAAGCCCTTCATGGTTGGTGAAATGCGCCCACGGCCAGGTTAAGCGCTGCGGAGGTCTTGTAGAGACGGGCGTCCGAGATGGAGGCTGGCCTCGGGGCGTTTGGGGACAGGTCGCAATTCAAGAGCGCCAATGGGGGACTAGATTGCTGGCGCACACACGGTGGATCGGACACAGGAGAGCGTAGGGCTCAGGTCGACATGGAGGAGAGACGCGTGAGGTAATAGAGGGTGGCTAGTGTAGCCGTCTAGGATGGTGCACGGGGAGTCGGTGGAGGGAGGAGCTTCGCGAGGGGGTCGTCAGACGGCAGCTGGGGCCCTAACAACTTGCGGGTGACGTGTGGGCGCTTTGTCTAAGGGAAAGGCGTTTCTTCTAGAGCTGGAGAGACAAGTCGGAGCAGGTCGTCAACTGACAACTCAGGGCTGCTGCCAGACAGACAGCGTCGAGTGATTCGCGCTAGCCGTCCCGTAGGCGAGGCCGTGCGTTTTTGGCCAAAAGCAGCCCCGCCGCAGCCGTCACGACATGATACCTGCGATTGTGAAGTAGCAGATGCTGAGTGTGAAGGATTGAGTGCGCAAGCAGGAGGCAAGAGACTATGCAGCTACTTGGGCAGACGTAGACTCGTATGATCTGATCTAGTACTCCAGCAGAGGCATCACCAGATCGATCCCTGTCTCGATTGAGAAGCTGCGACGGGCCTCTCACTTGGTCAGGGTCTGCAAGAATCGTATCTTATACACCACAGCCATAGCCACTGCAGTCTGCGCTTACAGATAAGCACAAACTACTGAACGAGCATCGTGCTGCAGGCTCCCGTGACTATAACCACGAGAGATTCTCGAGCTCCAGACCCTTCGCTGTGTAGTACAACATGGACAACGCTACATCGACCACGGAAAACCAGCATGCGCCATGGCTACCGATCCCGTCACGTGCCGTCTCAGTCGTCGAACACCCGGCCATCGTCAAAAACGTTGACAAAGGCATTACCTCATTAGGTGGGCCTGTCAAACTGAGCAAGGTCAGCGGAGATAGCAGTGCCTACCGCTTTGGGAGAAACTAACAATCGCCTCAGGGCTTGCGATCTCGATTGGAAACCACGACCAACGCCGAGGGTGACGATGAGCTCAAGAAACTCATATCCGTCTCGTTGCGCCCAGACGATCCCTTCGCCAAGCGTTTGCTGTCTACACCTGTGAGGACGAACAACCTCCTGCTCAAAGTAACAGTGCCAAAGCGAACGGGACGCAAACGAAAGCGCGGAACCTCAGGTCCTTTTCTTTCTGAAGACGAAGTAGGCAGCCATGGCAATGGAGTCTCAAACGGTAGTACTACAGTCAATAAGACGTACGTGGATGCATCAACCATCTACAGGAGTTTGCAAGACAATGCCTCAACATACAAAGTCACTCTGGCAGGGGTCGTGGATGAGACCCATCGATTTCGAAGTGCCCCAACACCATCCACCTCAAATATAACAACGACTGACTGATCTTTAGATATGCCTGACTTGCAATGTGCTGCTTCTCATAACAAGATCATGGTTGGCCTCCGAGACCATGTTCTACCAAAACGATGTAAGTCCGACCCAGCTGTTCTCCGAACACTACTGATCCTATCCTAGACGAACAGCTGAAAAAGTACAATGTGAACACTGCGGCCGGTGCAGACCTTACGGAAAGCGTCGGACCGTCTCCAGAGTTCATACAGATGCCCATCGCTTTCAACTATCGGTTCCAGCAAAATGCCAATGTCAAGTACACCGACCAAGGTGTGGTCAACATACAGAGAAGCTTGGCCTATAATGCATACACGATCGTTAAGCCCACCGATGAGCACGTACCGACAGGACCACGACCAGGTCTCCCAGCAGAGAGAGATCTTACGCCTTACATGCAGTCACTGATAGCTAACATTCGAGCTTTACTTTTACAAAGACCTATCGTTACCCGCCAGCTACTATACAACAGACTCGGCTGGGACAAGCGAACAAAGCTTCGGCAAGCAGCCATATATTGCGGATACTTCTTCGAAAGTGGACCCTGGCGAGAGGCTCTGATACGATGGGGTGTCGACCCTCGCAAAGACCCTGAATATCGAAAATACCAGACTGTGTCATTCCTGTCTTACATCAAGTCAGGCACGTCCAAGCACCGCGCTGTCTTCGATCAACATGTTATGAAACTGGCAAAGATGGCTCCAGAAGAGCTAGAGTCTGAGCACACTTTTGACGGCTTCAATGTCTCGCAGACAGGCAATCTCTTCCAATTCTGTGACATTACCGACCCCCTCATTGCGAAGATACTAGCCACAAAAAACATCCGAACAACTTGTGCACCGACATTCCAAGGATGGTATCACGTTGGGACATGGGCCAAAGCCACGGTAATTTTGAAGGACAAAATGAACACCATCATCGGTGGTGACAAGCCTGATGATAGGATCTACCAGCGTATCGTCACTTGGCCTGAGTTGTGGGATGACAGGGACATGGCTGCCCAGTATAAGGGTGAGATTGACGACCGTCAGTTACACCACGAGAAGAGGAGGGAACATCAGGTAATGCACAATGTGCGCTGGGCTGCAAGAAACCCTCGTTATGCTTTTGAAAAGATGGAAGCACGTGACGAGCAGGAAAAAGAGACCGAAGAGGAGCAGGAGCCAGAGAACGTTGATGTTCCTGAGGACATGACAGAAGATCCTGTTCAGCCCGACACTATTTTGAACGCAGATATCGGAGAGGCAGAGGATGAAGAAGATGACCAAGACGGGGAAGCAGATGAAGATGATGACATGCAAGTCGATAACAGGGACGAAAACGTCTATAGTAGTTCGGACGTGGATGATGATGATGATGACAGTGACAGCCCAGTGGTGTCTGTACGAGCGGCATCAGAAGGACCGGTTCCATTTGGCGGCTACTACAAGGTGTGAAGTGGCTAGAGATCCTGTGGTACTGAGGAGGCTGGGGTTCAACAGCCGCAATTTCTGCATTCATGACTGTGCTCTTATCTGGCTACATTTGTCTCACAGATGGATAGCCCGAGGTAAAGACTTGTTGCGGAAATCCGTAGGCGTATGTTGCGCATCGCTCGCGAACCAACAAACCCTATATAAAAAATAGATCAAAATTACAGATCAGTCTTCTATATGAGCGAAGCTCAGCATTGCTGGAGTAGACGGTGAGGTCAAGCGCAACTATGCCGTCGGTCTCTGGAATGGGTGCGACCCACTAATATGCTTGGCTTTGGCGCAACTCGGATCGCCTGAGCTTTCGTTTTCCGTAACCTCACGCGAAATCGCACCACCGACACCACCACCCATCGACACATTACCGGCTACGCACGCCCAGTAGCCCCGAAATCACCTCCCGTAGCTTGCCATCAGCTCTTTCAATCACAACATGTCCTTCGCTCGCGCCGCGTCGAAGGTCAGCCGAGTGGGCGTACGAGTCCCGGCCTACCGAGCAACCCCCGTTGCGTTGAACACCCAGCGTGCTTTCTCGCAGTCGGCTATCCGCAAGAGCGATGCGCATGCCGAGGAGACCTTTGAAGAGTTCACGGCCAGGTACGACAGATCCAAGGAGGGGCTATAGAGTCGGGCAGGCATGGAGTCATGCAGGAATGATGGAGAGCCATTGAGCGCCATTGGTATTACCAGAAGCTGCAGTGCTGACTTGTGTTTCTCCAATACAGGTACGAGAAGGAATTCGAGAAGGTGAACGACGTTTTCGAGCTTCAGGTATGTTTGTTGTGTCTACGAAGTGTCCCGCACCGGTATCACCCGATGTGCCTTGGGCAGTTGTAGACTGGCGCGAAGAGGACCAACGAGCTGACAATCGCTAGCGAAACCTGAACAACTGCTTCGCCTACGATCTCGTTCCTTCAACCACCGTCATCACCGCCGCTCTCCGCGCTGCCAGGCGTGTCAACGACTTCCCCTCCGCTGTCCGTGTTTTCGAGGGTACGTTATCTGCTATACCCCCCATACGTCAGCCCTGGAATTTTTTATTGCAAAAAGGAACCAAGCAGATTCCGAAATGCGACGCTACTTTGGCATTGGACAAACCCTGAGATATTGATTACTAACATACGTCACAGGTATCAAATTCAAGGTCGAGAACAAGGGTCAATATGCAGAGTACCTCCAGGAGCTTGAGCCCATACGTGAGGAGCTCGGCATCCCTCTCAAGGAGGCCATGTACCCCGATGAGAAGTAGAGAAAGAGGTTGAGGCTGCGCATATCCGCTTTCCCCATGTTCCTACTCCACATCTTGACATCGAATACCATGGTGCGGCTCTCCAACAATGTAAATGTCAACACTTCAGTTTTCTTCTCTTAGATGGAAAGGCCGGACGAGGACGTGCGGTCTTGTAAACATATGTGATGTTTCTCCTTTGCATACATGATTACGTCAAACCGCTTATGACTGGGGTTTTGGTGGTAAGCGAGGCGACGGCAAGTAGATGGATAAGAGTACATCGTTTTGAAGCTCAAGCCGAGTGTGATGTTGTGTGAAGTCTCGGGTGCAGTGAACTTACAGACTGCCCCTTTGCCGCCCCTGTGTCGTGCGTCCAGGTGAACATGCTAGAAGACATTTGTGTCACTGTTACACGTTGTCAACCCTGAGAAGATGGTCATAACATGAGTAAGAGTCAAGGATGCAGAAGCCACCAATGTAGTGGTGCTGTCCACATTCGATGCGATCGGAGGAGAGCCAAGTCTGCCGCAATATATCAGGAAAATAGAACATACTATCTGGAATCTAGTGTGAACAGTTGACCGTTCGACAGGTACCGGACATGGTTCTTTGGACGCCGATGTCGCTAATCTGCATGAGGGATAGCCGCTCGCGCAGGGGTTGCGCCGACCAATGAGAGCACGCGCTAAGTTTTGGGGGTCAGCGTGCCTTCCTCGCTCGTCAGCTAAGTGCTTGCAGAAGCTCATCCATCCTCTAAGTCGCGACTCCATACCCGCACCTGGGACGCGCCCTTGCCCCACCACCAGGCCTCAT